ATAATGCCAAACATCTCGTGGGAATGATTGACAAATTAAAATAATGCGCAAAATATCGAAGGGTATTCTGCTCGTTCATGAACCACAGTCGTCGAAAGAATAAGACTCAGTTCGTGGTGTGTAGTGGTTGCAAGGATCGATTTTCGAGGCTGTAGTGATGATTCGCAGTCCTTGGGAAAATAAGTCAAAAGTGTGAAAATATCTGCAGCAATCCTGATAACAAAAATCCCATAGAGGCTGCGAAACTATTGCTATTAAAGAAATATTGTGTAGATATGGGGAAACTATTCGGCGGTGTTCAAAACCGGGGATCTTTTGCGTGGCTGTTAGAAACGGATTTTGTAAGAGTAGACAAAACTTTGGGCCGGAATAGCGATCCCGAACGAACTGGAATTTAGGGTGAAATCGAAGGGCTGATATATGCGAATAGGAAATACATCGAGTATGAATATCCCCCGGCGAAATTCGATGGACTCGCAACCTGCAAGGGACAATTTCTGGGATTCACTAACTTAAACTCCTATTTTAAAGCCAAAGGTTCTATGCGGGCGACGTAGGCTTTCTAGGAACCTCAATCTTGGTCTAGCAGCGGGCGTAGATATTCAAGGAGGGTGAGATGCACTCTACATCACTCCCGTACATGTAGACAGATGGAGGAGGGGAGAAAGTGGGAGGGGGGGGGAGAAACAATTGGGCGAATGGTGTTGGGGTGGATGTGCTGACAACCTTGGGAAGTTTCCGAAAGACAGTTAGCCGTTAGAACTTCATTTTCATGAAAACATGAATGGCCCGCCCTGCCACCCCATATAATTATAGGATAATAATATGATATGGGGCACCGGAGCAACGGTCACAGAAATACCGTACCGTATCTTATTTCTGTTATGCTCTCGTTTAAATATGTTTAAATTCAGCCACAGAGCGGAGTCCTTCTTTTGATAGCATTGATCCAAGCCGATTGAGGGGCAGAAACGAGTATGAGGAGCCGCGCAAGCTGCTGGAGAGGGGAGGACAAACGCAGTGTTCCTGCATAAACTTGCTTCCCGGTCAAGGAGAGTTTGGTTGGCCCTCACAATCTGGACGGAACATGCAGAGTTAAAAATATTTGGAGTAACCCCTGTGTCAATAAAGTTCGACTTGTTGACATCACAGCAACCATGAGCTACCTGTATTATTATCCTTCTTCAGCGGATAGTTGTGTAGGAGGTTGTATATGGCAGGGAAACAAAACACGAGGCTCAGAACGCACGAATGGCAAAGAAACAAACATATTAAAGCTTTACATACTTTTTTCCAAGCCGACAATCTCAAACGTCTCTTGCATCTGAGATGTCAGATCACAATAATAAGTTACCAAGTAATAAAAACGCAAAGCGAAAAATGATGACACTAGTGTAACCCACAACCTCCCATCCACACACACTTCCCGCCCACTTCCACTTCACCACGCGACGCGTTCTTCAACCGAGTTGTCAATATGTCAACAACAATAGGAAGTCAATTGTTATCAGGGAAGTCGAATCCTTATTAGTTATTAAAGCTTTTGAAAAAGGTCAAATTTCAAAGTGTTTGAGCTGCTGCTCACATGCATGATATCTCTTGCTCAATCATTTAGTTGATCAACTCTCTGATTGTAGAACACAAAGAGATTTATCAGTCTTTGTTCATTGGATTACTATTCAGGACTGGATAAGATCAGTTTTCTTGAGCTCTGAAACAATAGTTAAACTTCTTTTATTAGTTAAGATAACTTTATTGTCTTATTTACTGTGAATATATATTTAATCAATTGAATTATTATTATTCTGAGTTAAAAACAGGTCTTTTGAGCCTATAATTATAAACAAACTTTATATAAAAATTTAAAAATATTTAAAAATAATATCAACTTGTTAAATTATAATATAAAATATATATATTATTAATAAAATTAAAGAATTACAACTATTATTATTATTATTAAATAAATTAATTTTAATTATATAATTAATAAATAAAATTAAAGTAAATTAAAATTATTTATATTTTAATAGAATTTTTATAATTAAAATTATATTATTTTTTATTTATATATAATTCTTAATTTTAATTAATTAGTATAAATTTATATATAAAATTATATAAAAAATATAATTTTTTATATATTAAAATATTTTTTATTTAAATTATTAATTATAAATTATTATTTAAATAATAAATTTTAAATTATTTATTTTTATTTATATAAAAATTTTTAAATAATATTTGAAATATTTTTAATATTTTAAAAGTTGATTTTTCATATTTTAAAGCAGATTTTCTTTGATTTTAATATTTAAATATATATTTTAATATTTTAAAACTTTTTACAATTTTTAAACTTTTGAATCAATTCTTATCTCATAATATATAACAATTAAAGCTATAAAATAAGACAGCTAAGCATATCTCAAGCGCTGTATATGAAGCTCACTCAGTTCTGAACAAGCTCTGAATAAGCTAGTTAAGAAGGGTCAGATAATCATGCATAGAATGACCATTCTTGTAAAGAAAAACAAGGAATTAAAAAGCCGTCAATAGAAAAACAAGAGAAAGTGTCAAAGGAGTTGTTCAAGAAGAGATGAATCATGTATGGAGATTCAATGAAGAGAAAAGGAGGAAGAATTGAGCAATCTGATCTACGACCACGAAAGCAGCACCTTGTGTAGTGTATGTTGGAACCCTTGGGCACCCTGCTCTGCTCGTTCATGCTCTCAGCGTAGAGAATAGTTTACAATGCAATTAGTGTTTACCTGTAACTTGTAGTTATTGTGTAATTTGAATGTAAAGTTACTTGATGGTGGAGAAGTGGACGGGAAGGCCACTGATTGAAACTCGGGGCTAGAACAGTGAGTGAAGCTCATAACATGCTCCGATGATGCTGGTTTGCTTGAAGGAGCGTTTCGGTGTGGCGGTACTAGCCCCCGGAAACTCCCCAAAATCTCGACCCAGGTCCTAGAGCAGCGGTATGAAATCCCGGTAAATCCAGGATACTGGTGCCTAAAGCATTAGCGGGACTTGGGTGAGTGCTTGGCGAAATCAGCCCTGAGTTGCGATCAAAATTTTCGACTCGAAGTATTGCACTAATAATAAATCCAAATTGGAATAATGCGAGGTTCTCCCAGCACCCTTCCCGGTATGGATAGGCGTGGGTCACTAGGGACACTCAGGCTTGACTACATCTGGAACTCTCGGTAAACATGTCTTATTCTTTTAATGAAACGTCTTTTTTATAAATAGTGGATTGTAGCCTAAGATTGAGTCAAGTGATAGAAGGGGATTTTCAGTGCTATATTTGACTGCTTTGGCAATAAACACTTTGATTCTGATCAGTGATAGGGCCTAACAAGGCTGGCGATCGGCATCTTGAATCATTTCCTGCCAAGCTCCAATTATCCTTTGCCAAGTTGTGACAGATCGTGCTAGTTAACTAGTGAACGAACTAGTTAGTTAGGGAATTATGATCAACTCCTCACATTTTCTAATTTTGGGGCCTTCGCAAAATTGTGGAATGGAGATGTTCGTGGATAATACTCCGGAGACACAGCTGCAGATTATATATTGTGGGTTACACCAGATGAAGGTTACATGCAGATGTATATATTATTGAGATTCAATAATATCATGAGATACAACTACCAGAGCTATCATGACCTTAATAACCAATTGTCCCCAATTCAACTTCAAGGACATTGTTTCTGTTTGACCTACTCTCTAGCGCCGGAGACAAAACAATGTCTTCCCTCTTGACATACTCTCTATTACATGAATGTCTGCACACTAAAACATCTCATGTGAGATCATGCAAGAATAAAAGAATAAAATTGTATGTTCATTATTATGATGAATATGCCCCTGCCTTGAAATATCATCAAATTAAGTGGGCCTCACAGACTTACCTACCATGCAGGATTTTTGAATGTATGGGCAACCATTTTACAAAGTACTTTGAGAGTTTTTTTTTTTTTTTTTTCTCCTTTTTATTCGCTTGCACGGCTAACTTCTCACACGAATTCGGTTATAATAGTAGTAGGATTTGATCCTAGGTAGGATCAAATCAGACTTCAGATTCTAGGAAGAATTAAGCCAATTATTCGTTTTTCTAGATTATAAGAAAATTAGTGGTCATAATTCTGCTATATCATTGAACTCGAACCGTGATAAATATTTAATCCTTCAATTTCAACGATTTCGAGAAGGGTTGTTTGAGGGGGTTACTTCATACAGGGTGCAAAATACGGATGCTACTGTGACGCCTTCTGGGTTACAAGTCAATCTAAAAATACCAGTTAAAAGATTTGGAACTGAGGTTGAAGAGGGGGCTCTTAGCCAATGGATAAAATGATTATTTCTTTTCTCCTTCCCTTGCTTGTTTCAATCCCCTACTCCTTGTTGACCCCTGCTAATTGAGTTGTTTAGGAGCTTAGTGGACTACAGTCCTAGACTAGATAGTTAAGGATCGCGTAGTTAGCTCAGGTGAACATAGGAGATTTGAGGATTCCTTGAGGATTCTTTTATCAATTCCTCATAGGAGCAGGAGAAATGTCCTTTGAAGCTGCTACGCTTTAGTGGAGGGCAATTTTCCAATATAGAAAAAGTTCCCGAGGTCAGCGGGACTCCATTGGCTATTCCCCGCCAGGTTTGTTGCAAGCAAGCCCACTACTGATGACCTCACGGCGATAGAATATGGTGATTTACAAGTTGTATGTCTAACTGCGATGGGGTGTTTTGTCCTGAAAAAACAGATTGGGAACTGAGACGACTATTATGCTGATGAAGTCGCGGAATGGACGGGGCAGGATAACTAATGCGACTCGCAGATTACATTAGTGTGTGTCAATGCGTAACCCGGTTCAGGGGACGTTTCAAATCAAAACAAAAAGCCCGGCCTCTATTTGCAGCTGCCATGCTGCATATTTCGCCTCTAATCATAGCTTCCGAACACCATGTTGGGTGGCATATAGCACAAGCGCAACTTCCAGATGATCGACAATCCTAATGATGAAAAACGATTCCAGATGAGGTATTCTGAAGATCTAAACCCTATTAAAGGTATGTCGTTGCAAATGCACCCAGATACGTGAAATGAAAAAAAATATGTAGAGGGAATGAATAAATGTGTGCTGGCGGTGAAGCAGGACAGTCAAGAAAAACTGGGAAACTTGTGGTTTTGATCAATATCAGGATTCCGGATTCCGGGCATCACTCAGTCCGGAAATGCTAAATTGAAGCCAGAAGCCGTCCCCCCCAAATGTCTTAAAGCTCAAGCAAACTCTCCTCCCAAATCTCCTCCGCGCACGACGAGGTCAGGTCGCATTATCACAATCGATACCCGCACTCCACACCAACTTAAGGCGTTGTATGGGCTGCTCCACACTTGAAATATGCCAAATCATACCCCTTCAAAGCTTTACGTCCGTAAATAATGTCATAAAATGAACGGATGCAAGTATTGCTGTCCCATTTCCGTGACTCCCGTGCCGAGGTATAGGAATATGTAGAAGTTCAGCTTGAACAGTTTGTCATCGGGGGTGTTGAATGTGGCAACTTCATCGGGAGGAAAGCCGTGGGTTTTGAGGTTCCTGCCCTTGTGTTTGTTGCTGTGTTTGATGGCGGTGAGGAAGATGTATGGTTTTTCATCACTAACGGTCCAGCCGTTGTAACAGGTGAGTTTCGTCTCGGTATTCTCTAGGGTATTGAGCCACATGTTAACTTGGGTAATGTGCAGAAGTTCTACTGTACGGCACTCGTCTTATGGAATGGCCAGAGTGTATCTGTTTTTCCCGGCATACCTCTTGCAGCAAGTAGGAGTCGACTTAGCCGATAGGGCCAACTGCGGCAAAAGATCAAAGCCGAAAAACTACATCCATATGCGATGCATGGTTAAATCCAAGTTTTCCAATTGAATAACTATACCAACGGAAGTATTACCGTACATTCATTTTTCCTGTCCAAGAAACTAAAAAGTTCAGGGAATTTTCTAAAAATTGTGCTAAAGGAGTGACTGGAAGCAACGAAAAAAATTCCGAGGGAAAAACAACAAATCTCAAAAGGGAGGCCAGAAATTTTCTTTGGAGTTGTTCCATTGAGGGAAATCCTCCGAAGAAGCGGGGATAGAGAGCTTTTATATACTCAACGACCCCTCTGGGCAGAGAAGGATTTGCATCCTACCCCTTGATCTTAGAGAGGTCGCATCACTTCACTTCTGCCATCGGGGTTGTGGCAAAAGGTTGCAGACCCTATTCAGCTCTGCGCCATCCTAATGGACGTGAAACGGCCTTTTTTCGCCCATCGTAAACTATTCCCCATATAGTTTCATACTTTGACAAAATTTGAGGAAATATACCAAAATTTTTGGGTCGGAATTGAATTGAGTATGGGTTATCCATGCAGGAAAGTGTCAAGGTTCTAAGAACTTCAGAAAATCAACAAGAACATCAAATCTTCTTGAGGAAACTTGCTGAGGTTTCATCTAGGAAACCAACATGAGCTTGGCTCAAAAGACACTAAGGGGAATGGCAGGTGAAATTTCAAACCGTGTACACTTCCTGACGGAAGTTTGCATATTATTAACCCTGCACTAGTTAATCCTTCCAAGGTTTAACTAACTCCAGCGGTGAGCCCTAACTCGTTAGGAAAAGCGTTCCTTCAAGCTCTTACTCACTTTCTTATTCTCCAGTGTTTGTCTCTCTTTGTCTCTTTTCTTTCATTTTTAGTGGTTATAGGGAAATTTCCAATCCTATTATTTTTGACATCCGCTTCGCAGACAGGAACAATGACATTCCGCTGCTTGAAGATGGAAATCATGGGCAATTTACAGAAGGTAAGCAACCCAAGCGCTTTCTCCACATCTGATGAGACATGCCCAAAATATGAAGTTATTCAGTTGCGCATCTAGAATTGGGAGACGCCCTCCCGAATTCAGGAGGTGAGATGCTCACTGGGGGTGTATTTGCCTGTACTTGCAGAGAGAGGATTCACTTCAGTCATTCCACACCGGCAGGAAGATGAAATATCAACACTTGTGCTCACACACAGAGGAAAACCATTTGATTAATCTTGAGAAAGAAATAAAGGCGTAAACATTATCCGTATCTCTCATGCTGTTCTCAATCCTTTTGCTAGTCTTCGCAAAACACCCCCTCCAGCCCTCAAGGACCCGGGTCTAGCCATATCTCGTTTGTTAAGCTGCTTTTCAGCTTTTGTGTGTAATTTCTGAGTTTCTTACGGTGCAACAAGAAAGGAAAGGGGACTAAAAGGAAATGAAGACATCTTTATTGTGATATTTTTGACATCGTTATAAGTGAATTTAGCAGTGAGCAAGTGAGAAGATCAATCGTTCTGATAATAAGAATAGAATGTTCGTGTAAGTAATTTTTTTTAGTATTTAATTCTGTCTTTCAGCGAAGCTTGAAATGGCAGGGAAGAGCCCGCAATAACTACCAGAGAAAACACCACAAACCCCAGTTAATTGTTTTTTTATTAGGTTGGGATATCTCTCATGGCGCTGCCAACCAGAGCCTTTCTCCGACAACACCAACACCAACCAAGACTGGAACGGAGAGACCATCTCCTCCCTCATACCTATAGGAAACACATACGCTTTTCCTCTTCATCTCCGACCCACCCCGCCAAGCCGACGATCCAGTGGTCATCGTCCTCGCCGGCGCCAGGGAAACTACAAGGTTCTACCCCACACTTGAACGGCTCGTCTCCCCATTTGCCCGTATCCTCCGGTATCAGGGCTCGGTCGCCGTGAGAATGGCCGCAACCGCTCAACGACAGTAATCGGCAACGGGCGAACTAAGCGTCGCACTGGAAGTGGCTGGCTTATCAGCCCCTTCATTCTTGATGCGCACTCCTACTGCGCCATCGTTGCATGTGAGTTCTTGCATATCCGCCCAAATGACGTTGCTGGAATGGTCCTGGCAGAAGGCTCTACAGAGCGCCAGTGTGTCAGTTTTTCAAGATCCCGGACCCGAATATTGTTCGGCTCTTTTTGGGGACCTCAAGGTTGCCCTGGTCACGGGCTTGAGAGCGGACTCTAAATTATCTCGCGGCCAGTGGCGGGCTAGAGAGGCAGAGATAGCTCTGGGAATGCCAGTTTTACGGACTGAGGCTGACCCATTCGTTTACGTGTGTAAAACGCTGGGTGAGAAGAAGCAGTTTGAACAACAGGCAGTGACAATGGGCAAACCGTCCTAGTAGTGTTATTCGGTGTAATACTGCAAAGGGTTATGGATGGCCATATGCAAAAGGAGTAGAGTTTTGCAATGGGACAGAAGAGCAAAGGAGAGTTTTTCGACCGGTTCTGGATACTTGACATGAGATTGACAGGGAACTGAAGGAAGAGTAACTTCGGTTTATCTTCCAAGTGCCATTTTGTGCATCTTACGGATTGCGGGACATCTACTCATCCGACTGGATGTTATTGCTGAGGAGATTCAGTGGGCTATTGACAGTGTATCTCTTTGAAGAGAGATCGCTCTTTTGTTTACTCCAGATTAAAAAGGAGTAATCAGGATTTCGATTAGAGTTCATTGTTCCTGGGGTTATTATTTGCTTATCATAACCTTTTCCTGAATTTCCATGGTAGGGCGATGTACGGTTACTTCATCTGATTCTTATCGCTGTCGTTTTTTACATATGCAAGGAAACCCAGCGCTGCTGCAATATGATCTAATACCTACAGCATATGTAAACTCCCTTTTGGCTGTTGAACCCCCTTTTCCATTGATGATTTGATAGTGAGCCGGGCATCCTTACGTCATCAGGTTGATCCAATGACGTCACTTGAAATCCAGTGGAATCACGTGTTTCTCACGGTTCGAAAAGTTAGCTTGCACGTGATATCTCTCTCCACTCGACGGGTTGGTTTGTTGTCACCTCTTCAATCGCTTTCCATCGAATTCAACCTGAACTTCGACATTTGCTTCGCTGAATATTGTGCTATTTCTTCAGAGTCTGAATCTAACTGACTCCATCGTCACCTCATTTAGCGAATTTACGCACCATCTTCAAATTGACCGTTTGCTAAGTCGTGCCATCCCCGCCCGTTCTGCGGACACCCTCGTCATGCCTCCCGATATAAACTCCCTCCCCCCTCCACGCTCAGCATTTCGCTCTCCTATACAGGTCCTCACCAATGTGAATTCGTCAGGCCTATCCCCTGGCCAATCGACCTCTCCCCGTTCCCCCTCTGTGTCTCTCGCTGCTGCCGCTACCATGAACGCAACGGACCGTTCAAGACGATCTTCAACGAGTATGAACCGTTCTCCGCAGGCAAACAGGGTGCACGAGCGCCGCCGGTCCATAGTACCAGTGAATCTCAATTTGAATGATCCGACTTTACCCGGCCCCGGTGAACTATCCAGTAGTGATCACCGTTCATCTATTGGAAGTATCTACAGAACCCACAGTCCAACCAGCATCGCGGGAAACCCAATAATTGCCACTGGGGATCCACACCACCAAAGAGCACCATCTCTTGGCGAAATACATCAGGAACTGGAGCAAGAACAGGAAGCGCAGGTGGTATGTTTGCAATATTACATAAATATAATCTTCTTTCTATTTCAAAGGAGACTTGCAAAGATATGCAAACTAATGAATCGTTCATTTTTTCCAGAACCGACTTCTGCAAATGATTCGTCTACAACAACAGCAGCTTCAGAGACAACAACAACAACACCAGCTGTCCGCCGCATCAGGAACTGCCATCGCTGACGATTCCACACCACCATCCGAATCCTACCCTTTAATGCCCATTTCACTACCGCCATCCCGATTCTCCACTCAATTCCCATCCAATCTCTCTAGACGCCGTAGTTCCGGCCATTCTCCTGCCCTCACTCCTCACAATACAGACCAGGAAACCGGTATGTTTGCGGACTGGTCGACAGTGGGTGGAGATAGCAACGGACGGCGCGGCAGCCGTGATGAAGCTTCATATTACCAGGCAGAGACGGCAATGTTAACGCGGGAAAATCAAATGCTGCGTGTAAGGATTCGGGAATTAGGTATGATTTACCATATCTGCAAACATCCAGTTCTACCACTTCCAATTAGTAATGATGAAAATCCATACTAACTTTTCTCCACGGCTGCTACAGAACGTCAAGTTGCTGAGCTGAGTTCGTCGGCTGCACATGCGCCTTCCACGGGCTCGCCTCTGTCCATGTCAGAACCTGTACCCCCCACCCCAGCTGTAGCGGAAACAGCACCGCCGCCCCAAGCGCAGGAAGGCACAGGAGATGTAGAGAAGTCTTGAAAACTAGCAGCTTCTGTCATGGCCGCGGGTCTTGTTTAACATAACACCCAAATTACCTCCTGCTCCGTTCGCCACCATTTCCTCCAGCCAATCCACCAAGCCACCAAGCCATCAAGCCACAATGCTTTTTCTCGAGAATCCGAACCAGACAAAGGCTTTTAAAATACATCATCTCGCACATTTCACATTTACGTATTTCAGAAAGATAATGCCTTGTATCGGGAATAGTCATTTGTTCACAGCCTACGAAACTTCTTTGAGATTTCCAACTTAAGAGGAACGACACATACATTTTAGAGGCGGAAAGGTGAAGCACATGGTCATGAATGATATTCACTCATATTCTCTCTGTTCTTGCACAGTGAGCCTGTATTTCATATTCTATATTTGCATTCGGCGCTCAAGGCATCCCTATATGTTTCTTTTCTTTTCTTTTCTTTTTTTTTTATATCTCTTTCCCCCCATTCTCTTCTCCCCTCTCCATCTCTTCATGGTTTTTTTTTCTCATGTGGTTTAGGGCATTTGGCTAGCACTGCACGTTTTCACTTTTGTTTTTTTAAGTTTTTGTTTCCCCCTTTCATACTGATGTTTTCCCATTGGGCATTCTGCTTGATAGAAATGAGAGAAATAACAGACGAAAAAATCAAGTGCTATTATGATCAAAGTTACTGTTCATGCATGATATTTTGAGATAAGTAGATTTAGTTACATCTTTATTATATCTCTTCAGGTTATTATAATTGAATATTTTGAAATACAATGCAAACGGGGGAGGTACATTATTTTGGACTAAGCTTAGTTAGGAAATAATTTTGCCTAATTAGGTAACCTTATAGTTTATGGAAAGGCCGATGTCAAACGTAGAGAGCCCAAAGTTGTTACAGGGAAGAAAAGTTATTATAGAGATGATGATATCCAAGCATCAAAATGAAAAACAACCCGTACATCGTACGTGTCTCTGAACAGGATATTGGGAAACATAAGAACATAACTATATATTGATACAGAGCTTCTTCTGGAGCAAAACAGCGCACAAAAACTCGAATAGCAGCAACGTAATCTATCTATCTATAAATAAGTTATGGTAAAACGGCATAGCAAAACCCAGGGGAAGGGGGGGGGGAAACGAAAAATCCAGACATTGGAACGAGAGATTACGTGAACATGATCGTGAAGATACGCAAAATCCAAATTGAACCCCTGACTTTTCCCTCCCCGTCCCCATCAGCGCTCACAACTGCCGAAGCGAGGCACTCACAACAACCCAATGACCACCAAAACCTTACCTACAACTTCGCCTTCTCCGTCTCAGTCAAGAGGTCAGGCATAAGTAGATCGCGCACCTCACACGCCGCCTCATTGAGATAGAAACTCATGCGCTCAGCGCCAATCTTCTTGCACACGATGTTGAATTGGAGACTACACAGTCAATTAGTATTTTCTCCTCTCTCCTTTCTCCTTTTCCACATCTCTTTTCCACCCGTCAAAATAGGAATGAATACACACCTATTCTCATTAATCATATACGCAATTCCAAACCCATCATCCACAACCTGACTCCATCCATATCCATTAAAGTACTCCGAGCTCAGCTGACTAGTGCTAATATACCAAGTCCCGCTATACGCATACGCCGGATCCTGGAAGATTTGCGGAACCTTCTCGCCATCCTTAAGGAGCTTCTTTAGACCGAAGAGGTGTCTATCAACACCCTTCCCAACGCTAGCATCAGCGGTATACTTAACATGTGCCGCGAGCGCGGCGCGGAAGTTCTTCACCACTTCCTCACGGGGAACATTGGTGTCAGCATGCGACCTGCAGAAGGCAACGCTCTCGTCTGAGACAGAACGGGTGGTCTCTGTGCGGCCTAGTTGGAACTTGCGGGTCGAGGCTGACTCGTAGGTTGGTCTGTTCTTGCCATACATCTTGAAGTAGGCGAGTTGGATGAGCATCTGTACGTAGGCATCTGGGCTGCATTTGAATTTCTTAATTAGACCCTTTCCATAGCCCTGGAAGGCCTGGACGCGGAGCTCGTGCTGGCCGATGACGGTGTTAAACGCGTGTGTAGCTGTGGCAATGTCGTCGACAACTTGGTCGTTAAGTTCAAAGCGGACAGGTTGTGGCTCCGGGAGGGTGGAGCGGATTGATGGGTTGGAGTAGTCGAGGCGGTTGTTAAAGATCATGTTGTTTATGTAGTCATTTAGGCGGTGTGTTGGGGTGCCGTCCATCATGCTGTGCTCGCCCATGAAGCCGGCGGTGCCGTTCTCGTTGACGATGAACTGAAGAGGTTTATCATACCAGCGATTGCAGCCGTCACCATGCCAGTAGGAGTGTGCGCGCTCCTCCAGGGTGACAGGGGAGGCGTCGTCTAGGCAGACGGTGAATGATGCGCTCTGTATGGTCTCCAGTGCAGCCTCATTGACTGCGCTGGCTTTGATGAGGTTCTTTCTGGCAATAGCCCAGAAGTCTCGGTTTGCAGAGGTAAGCACGCCAACTGGCTGTACTTTCTCTGCCGTTCTGTAAATTTTCTCAAACTGCTGCTGGAGCTCAGAGGTATTGAGCTGCTGTCCATTGACGTAGGTCGGAACCTTGAAGATCTGGTTCTTGCGGATCACGATAATATGCTCGTTGCCCTGGGGAGGATATGTGACGGGGTAGTCGACCTTATCACCGGGCATACGGCAGGCATTGAACATGTATTTATAGGAACTCATGGCCATGGGTTCCTTGCGCAGGTATTCTGGCTCGAGAGATCCATCGTCGACCTGCTTCTTGAATTCCAGCACGGAGGTGGTGATGGCAGCAGCACGCTTTGCGGGATTTCTCCGGTGTCTGTCGTCCCGGTAAGAGTAGAAGTAGCTAACATATGGCACAACGGGGTCACGGTAGGCAAGATATGCGGTTTCGTTCCACCAGTCGTACAGCCAATTAGGATGGTTTGGATCCGCTGCTCTGGCCAGTAGCCGCTTCTGGAGAGGCTCTCCCTCACCACCTGGCCTGACGAATTCCTGGACGGCTTTAGAGGTGTGCTTGAACTCTGCGTCGGTAAGGAGTGGGTGTACTGATTTGAGGTATCGCTTGCCCGTCTCTTCGAGGGCTGGAACGGGGAGTTTTGGCAAGGAATCTTCAAACCGGAGCATCTTCCCTTTCGACAGATCCTCCTTGTATCCTAATATCCATTTAAGTCACAAGGTCAATCGGGGGCTGGAAGACTTCGTATTTTTTTTTTTTTTTTTTTTTTTTCACATGTCCGAAAACAAGGAGATAGAACAACGGAAGCATGTGTATGTACCTTGCGGAACGGAGGAGTTGGCCCGTCGAGTGGCCATTGTGAGAATCTAGATGGCAGCCAATATCATCAATACGGCAAAGCCAGAAGCTTAGAAAACAATAAACGACATAAACCGCTAGATGCAGACAAGTGAGAGTGGACAACGAACCGTAGGACGGGCGGGATGTACGGCAGAGGCAGCTCGTCCGAGGACAGTAAGACGACCTCGAGCGGCAGCAGGGAACATCCCTTTTGAGAGTGGTATCCGGCCGGGGGGGGTTGGGGGAAAGAGGGGAGGATACGAGAAGATGAGATGTAAGTTAGTATAAACAGGGCGGGAAGAGGCACCGGTCTAGTAAATAAAGCAAAAAAGGGGTGTTGAGTTGAGTTGAGGTGGAGAAATAAAAAACAGCGGGGAGAAATTCTTAGGCGGTTGATGCGGACAACGGAAGGAGACAGGCACGGAAGCTTGTGCAGATGTTCCTCGGCTGGATGGAGGTACCTGCCCCGCCATACAATGGGGTGTGGATTGGCAGGTACCTAGCCTGGATCAAGCGTCTCTGATTGTTTGTGCCTCTATTTTCTTATTCCCCTGTCGTTTCTCTTCTCCTTCATGCCAGATATATATTATCAGCATATTAAAACCGCTCCTCGCGCATATTATGAACGCTCAGAGAGTGTTAAGAGTGTAAATCCCCACAACTTCATAATATAGTTAGTTACCAGTTCCAAGAGATATGAGGAAATCCCTCTTCCTAACATCATTTTCCTCTGTTTTTAAATTCCTCTTCCTCTTAACATGCAGGCCTATATATGGGCTACCTAGGTATACATTTACTATATTTATGCAGGATCTCATTGCATGTCCGCGATTAACTGTAGGTTTGTTTTCGCCGAACAATCCAGATCTATGAGTGTCCAGGAAATCACCGAGAGCCGAGGCTGTTTGAACCAGGTCACATGACATATACAAGGTTGCAAGGGCTTCTGCTACTGCTGAGAGTTCCTCGAGCGCTTTCCAAGATTAATTCAATGCCTATACTTGCTCTGAATATTTACATGAAATTTCATATGCATTAAATCAAATCTAATAATATTTCTTTATCTTTTTCCAAAGTGTTTAAAAAGTAAATTGTTCTCTTGTTTATTAGAGTTAGATGCAGCGTCAAGTTCTGCAAAGAAAGCGAAGATGGAATCTTGATCTACTGACTATTCTTCTTTAGTTGCTCTCTTTTCAAAACTGGACTACTTTATTAAAAAGCTCAATAATTTCATGAATTTTAATAAGTCTGTCATTCTATTATACCTGGAGAGCACCTCTATAATCCTCTGGGCTGGGTATTAGGTTTCCATGGCGATCCTGATAAATGTGACCTTTTTAACTCACTGAGAATAACAAGACCGGCATCAGCAGACGATTCACCAGGATCGACATCAGCCCCACCACTCACAACCCCAGAGTGACTTTTTTTTACGACAGAGTTATCCGTTTAAAGGATGGTGACCGCACCTTGATCTGCACATCTCAAGAATCCATGGAATTTCCCGTCCGGTCATTGTTGACTTGGGGGAGTCAGTTTCCAGGCATGGCCTCCGAGGCGATCAGTCACTGAAGATGCAAGCTGCAAGCTGCAAGTGGAAGGCCAGAGCATTTAGTGAGGATATCCTGCGTGCCATGCCAAAATATATTCCCTCTATTAAGAGCCCGGCGGAGACTGCTAATGTCCGTTCTGGAAAGGATGGAGCTGTGTATGTAAATGAATTGGCAAGTTGTAAGCAGAGGGATGTCAGCACCAGTCATGTTGGTTAGGGACAGGACAACTGGTAATATCTTTGGCTCCAAGGAGCCGTTCTCTAGAGCCAGTGGCGGCCATGCTACCGCGAGAGCACGAGTGGAAGCATCGTTGCAGGCAGAATACACCCATATTGTGAAACTTGACCATGTGAGTGGATCAGGTGTTCTATTAAGTCAATACACTATTGGATGCCTAACTGATCTCATATCCTTCCAGCCACACATAGTGAAGGCTTTCGACCTGGTACTGGATGAGGATATCACGTTATCACCAGGGTTGATCATTGAATACATACCTCAGAACCTCTCCGAAACGGATATCAAGGAAGCCGACGTGCTGAGGGTGTTGACCCATCTCTGCACTGTTCTAGGGCATATGCATACGATTGGCATCACTCATCGGGATGTGAAACCAGACAACGTTCTTGTCCAGAAGCGCTAGTAATCAAACTTGCTGACTTTGGCACGTCGAAATACAATGCTGCAGGAAATATGAACACATTCACTGGAACAGAGATCTATATGGCCCCTGAGTTATTAAAGAACACGCGGCGCTACACTAACAAAGTTGGCATGTGGGCCGTTGGACTTATTGGAGTCCAACTACTTACCGCTTGGGAGCCCAATAGCTTCGGGACATGGCACAGTGTCATCCTCCATCATGTGGAAGAAGCACCAGAGGAGTTCTGTCCTTTGTTGAAGGGCCTACTTCACAAAGCACCTAGGAAAAGATGGAGCGCTGACAAGTGCCTGAGGTGGCTGTGGAGGCACATCCAAGCTGAATACGTGCATTGTTGAGCGCACTGGTGCAGAGGAAGAAGGCATGATGAACAGTAAGAAGCGACCAGCGTCAACACTTGATGAAGGCTTCCGAAAACCGGATGGCTATGACAGACCCATACAGAGCCAGAATCCTTCTGTCTCAACAACTCGCGCACGGGGAGTGCTTATCTCGAAGGATTATTCTGAGGGAAGCACCATTCGAGACATGTTGACTCCTAGCGAGGCGGCTTCCATTCCAAACACATCTCTTCCTGATGACGAGGAGTATTTTGATGACCAGCACAAGACTGATGAGTCTATGAATGGCAGTGACGCTAAGGGGGATGATTGGAGGGAAGGAAGTCCTACCAGTGAGGATGAGTGATGGCGTTTGTGACAGTGTTTCCCCTATGTGGATGGAGCCCGAATGCCTATTTTCTCTGCTCTTCGTGGATAGCCCACTTACTTTGATCATAGGCGCTTCCTGATAATGCCACGCAAGTTCTTCTCAAATATCTTCCACTATGACTTTTTAGCTTGCTTTGCTGTTTTGCTTTAAGCTTGAAAGATGCTCTGTCCCTCCGAAATGCTATCGAATCTTTGATCATTTTGATCTGGTCATTTTCATGCAAGCAGACCATGCACTGCTCATGGTCGCATCGTCCCACATTTCCCCTCTATCCCTACGCTCTCATCACATTCACATCAGTACATCCTCCCACGTAGGCCGTGAGTTCGAGATATATTGGCAACTTGAGTAGTTCTGACTAACGGAAAAGGAGATTGGCTCCAAACTGATTCTATGGAGGAAGCTGTAGAGAACAAGGTGCGGATCTCCACCGCCAAATCCCTTTCAACCTGACTGACAAACCTAGCCCGTTCACCATTTCCTTGCCTCAATGAACTCCGACTTCAGGTGTATTATCATGTCAACATATTGCCAATTTTGTAACTGAGAAGTCCGCGATCGACCGTTCGCGCCAGTGGGAGAGGCTATCAAAGACGAGAGAGGTCATTGCCGTGACTTGCTTTCACCTTCTCGGCTACGATAGTTTGTGTTGGGAATGTGAATTACGATGAAGGCGGCCGAGGGAAAGCGCTTGGGTAAACAAAGGCTGTTAGCGCCAGTGGTAAGAGGTGTGTATGTAAAAGCCCTACACTTGGACCCAATGTCCGTTATCAATGTCTACTCTAGCATCATGTGCAATGGTTGGCTAGCAAACCGCTTCCCAAAAGTCAAGGGGCAAAAAGATTGATCTATATCAACTGAATTACAGTCGGACAAATTACAATTGGACGTGATATGGTCAGGGCCTTTTGAAGCTTGCCCACTGGACACACTTTAGGATATATAGATAATACAGGCATAGGTACAGAAAGGGAACAGGGTGCATCTCAAATAGACAGGGCAAGCATTTCAGTTGGTTCAAAATCCTTGTTAACCACTGTCCGTAGCTACCCCTTCCTTAACTTAGTTAATATTACTGCAAATGAAGCAACAAAGTTATCTCAGGTTGATAAGAAGATTGATTGATTGTTTCATATATAATACTCATTCAGAAAGGTCATTCATAGTATGGGGGAACTGACTCTTCAGTAGATATCTATTTCAGTTTCTTAAGTAGATAATTATCTCATGTTGTATAACCATTCAATCAATTTTGTAGGGTGATGCAGAAAATATTGTACAAGCTCACAGCATTTTTAATGCTGGAGATTTTATCTCTCTCAAATGCTTAAATAGCCAAGAGAATTTTTCATTCCTGAGTATACGCCTCGGAAAAACAATTGACTAGGTGGTTTGATCGACTAGGTGGTTGGAATACGTTACCACCGACGGAGCTGTTGACTCTGATGATGCTGAAGATCCAGAGGTCATTTCTATGTATGTTGCATCCTGCGTCGGAAAAGGATCCCTGGCGCGCAGTTGTAGCCCAAGTTGTCGATTCAGTGCAGTAAATTAGCAATCCCATTCTCAGCCAGTATCATGATCATGGTAAGGACATCGGAGCTAAAAGTAAGAAACGACATTTAAATGACAAGTCAAATTGTAAATGGGGGCAACATTCACCAAAATATATAAAAATAGACAGGGGGGGATTAACACACTCTGCTTGAGCTGATCACAAATAACAGGTGACAAACGGTAAGGAAGAAAAAATAAAGGAAACCAATCACTATTGAGCGTAATACAACATACTTAATGAAAATAAATAAAATCACTCATCAAATTCAGAACTCACAAAAACTCACGACACAGACTCAACAGCCTTGTTAACGCCCCTCTCTTCCCCTCCATTAACACCCATACCCATACTCAAACTCAAGCCCCCCATTTTCGCCCTATGCACCTCCACCCCACCGACCCCTTTCCCTTTTAACCCATTGCGACCAGGAGTACAAATGCGCCCAGACCGCATCATACTCCTCAACCTCTTCCGGCGCGCCTCCCCGCCTCTCTCCTCTCCCTTCGAACCCCCTTCATCAACCCATTCGATCCGCTCGACCTTAAAACTCATCCCGTCATGATTATCCCCCCACGCCCGCGATTTGAGGCCGTACATCACGGTGGAGTCGTAGCGTTCGAGGGTTGGGAGTATGAGAAGGGTGATGTGTAGGTCTTTGTTGGACGGGGGAAGGGGAGGGATTTTGGGGGCTAGTTTAGTTGTCGTTGATGAGATTGAGGTTGTTTGGGGTTTATCAGGGTTTTGGGATGCAGCGGAAGCGATGGTGGTGGGGTTATTGGCTGTCGTCGCCGGTTCGTCTGCGGAAGAGAATTTTGGCAACATGCTGTTATTACCATTTTTCCCATTTGGCGCATGTTGATGCTGTTCCTTAATCTCCAAGTCTAACATGGAAACATCCACATCCTCTCCCCATTCCCCACGAATAAACCCAGAGTGAATCGCTGCCGCCACAGGATCCGAGTCATCCGTATACACACCCGTGCCCCAGAGTGCCCGTCGTGCACAGATCTCTTCCCTGTGACTGGCATCAATCCGGAACCGTGGCACACGTATCGTGTATGTGCAATTTTCCTTGCCTTCGAACCGCGGGATGGGTACTGGTGTGCTTACGTAGCCGAATTTGGAACTTTCGGGGGAAGCTCGGGAGGTAGGTACACCGATCTTGGGAGAGTAGAGTGTGGAACCTAGATGATACCTGGGGCGATGAGCAACGCTGCGCAGGAGAGGTTGTAAATTTACAATTGTGCAGTACTCGCGAAACGGAAGTGCCGGGGTAGAGGTCGTAGGAGGGCCAGTCGATGCAGCACCACTGCCAGCTCGTGGAACATGATGATGATGGTGATGATGATGGTGGTGGTGGTGAGGACCAAAATTTTGGGAGGAAGCGGCATTGCCGTCGGGGGCTATAGGTGATCGGAAACCGGGTACTAAGGCTGATGGCGCAGCGTTTTGGGTAGTTACAGATCTGGAAGCTTCTTCTTCCGGCTTATATCTATGATGATCACTATATGACGTTAGTTAGAAGAAGAAAAAAGGGGAGGAAAGATTATACGATTGTCATAACGGGAACTTACTGATGACCATGGTGATGGTGATGGTGGACGTGTCGAGCCCTTCGCCCCCGGGTTGTTGTACCACGGGGGCCAGCCCCGCTTTCAGCGTCAGCTTTCATATCATCATCTTTAGGTTTTCGGCCACGCCGCGCCGCGCCAGCAAGAGAACTAGTCCGAATTGACTTTGTGGCAGCAGTTTCATTCATTTCCGCACCAGCTGAGCGTGCCGCGATAGCGTCCCGTTTAAATGGGCTCGACGTCATCGGTGTTGGAGGCCCACTGCCAGCATGATTAGCTGTGGAGACGCCAACACCACTTCCAATTCCCGAGAAAACACGACCAAGCTCGCTCTTAATGCCAGCCTCATCTCCTGGGGCGATCATTGGTGCCTGCATACTCTGAACGGCTCGTGGAAGCGGCGATGCCCTTCCTTCTCGCTTGTTTTCCGTCAGGCTGAGAAGGTTCCGGTATTGGAGGGGTTCATCGCTGCCTTTACGTTTCTGGTCATCGCCTATGGTGCCAAAGGGTCTTAGCGAGGATGACCCGGGGGTTGGGGAAAAAACCCGAGAAGGTTGTTGGAACTTGCCTAGGCCTGGAGTGGAGGATGAATCATTGTGCTGTGAAAGCTCGGGCCTTTGCTGTTGTATATGCGATCCGGAAATAGATCGAGGTCCAGGTAACTGAGATCCAAGTGATTTCGTATAGTTTTGCATACCGCTGAACCCAAAACCGGAGGATGGATCAGCGGCAGGGTGGCGAGCAGTTTCTGGAGACAAGCGCTGGGTGCTACCTGAATCCCAAGAGGATCGCTGGGGAGCTTCCTGTTCTCGTTCTCCGAATGGAGGCCCAAATCGTGCTTGTTGCTGTTTCATATCATGAGATACTCGACTGGAAAGCTCTTGTTCACGACTCACCGGCTCCGTGGGAGCATGACGTTCTTGCTGTTGAAGGCTGTATCTTTGCTGCGCGTGGGATGTTGGTTCACTTGGGTGATATCCGTGTGCTGCACGTTGTGCTCCTGGTTCTTTAGGGGGGCCTTCTCCAAAATTGGGTCCCACTGGTCTTGACCCCGGACTGAATAACGATCTTCTCATGGAAGGCTCCTCTTGATGCGGCTGACTGCTTGGCCTTTGAATTGGTCCGCTTACGCTAACACGTCTGCCTTCATTATATGATGGCCCCGCAAACGGCCCAGGTGGAGTTTGCTGGGAATTTTGTGGCTTTTCTCCGTATATCGAGGACAGGCCCTGGGACCTCGACAAACTCCCAAAACGCGAGGTATCCTCTGGAGCACGTGGGGGTGGGTTTTGGGGAAGACTTCCAGAAGTTGACCGGAATGGTCGAGGTGGCTGGACCTTTGAAAACATGGCCCTATCGGGAGTGTGAGACCGTCTCAAAGGAGGAAAATCAGAAGGTGGCTGTGGCTGTGGTTGTCTTGGCGGGGCAGATGGGGGAGACATCGCGCCGGTTGGTGGTCCGTGCGCACCACCTGGGACTGGGGATGCGGCAGGGCGACTGTAGAGTGATGATGGGCCAGTATCACGAGGGGGGCGATCTGAATCTGATCCTAGCATCGAGGATATTGACATGCTACTTCCGGGACGATGTGCGGAGGGTTGGGGAGGTTCACGGGGAGGAAACGAAGTTGGTGCGGGAGGAGGAGGTGGGATAGGCGCACCACGAGTATGATAATGTTGCGGAGGGGACGGAGGAAGCATCTGGCGATTATTATATGAAGAAGCGGGTGGGGGAGGTTGTTGGGTCCTCGAGTGGTCACCTTGTCCTGCTGTTGTGGTCATTGTTAGCAAGCTCTGACGGGGTAAACCAAACTCGTCAAAACAGCCTTTGTTGCCAATACACACTCCACAATAAAAGACATGGATGCGCTAGAATTCTGATTCAACAACATCCGTGCCAGTATAATATGTCACTACTTTGTGCGATCACTGGAGGTGGCCATTCACCGTGTCAGGGCATTGCGAAGAGAGAAGTGCCACTCACCAGGATAGACGGGAGAACTGCCATTGCTACCCAGCGAACGCCGCCTGGCATGTTCGTATGGTTGTGGGGGATGCGACATGTCCCGCGACATGGCGTGTGGGGGGGTGGGCGGGGGAGGCGGGTGTGGATGTTGTGGATGTTGCGTATGTTGATGATGGTGAGGTTGTTGTTGCGCCGGAGGATGATGAAGTGCTGTGGGAGAGAAAGCGTATAAGTCAGCAAATTGCAGTTGGGAAAGCGGCTATGTAGGAAAGTCACGGGACTAGGCGGCTGGAAATGGGCCACAATGCGGCTAGAGTGGAAAGGGGAAGGCACCGCAACTTTAATGCAGTTAGCGTTCCCGCCCAAGGCATCGAAGCAGCCGATCCAAGGGTTAGGTAAGGCCAGGCACGGACAGCCAGGGCATAAATAGGTAGGTATACACATTTTGGGCCTTGACCAAGAGACATTTTTCTCTGTCCCGGGGCGAATAGGCGGCTGGGGTAGGGATGCTGCGACAGGGAAATTGTGTCCAAGCAGTGTTGTACAGATTATGGGGGCCTGTGTTTTCCCATCACGCGTGGGTTGTGCCCACCGCACTGGCAAAATCGTCTCTAAGTAGACGCGTCCAGGGAGAATTCTAGATCTACTTGCTGCTGCTCACCAGTGCAATGGCGCAAGGAAATGCTGAAGACAAATGGTCCAGAAGATTGCAGAGTGGGGGTTCCACGGGCATGTGCTATCACCGGTATTGCCTTGGGCCTTTGATATCATCATCTCTTACCTTCACGATATATGGTGGTATTTTGCTCCGTCACTCTTCTCTCGCCATCTGTTGTGCTCGAACTGTGATTCACATGTCTGGAATGGAAAGCTGGCCGGGGCTCAGGATGAAGGTGTGCGAATGGTCCTTGCGATTGTGAGGGTTTTGGATGGGGGACGAGCTCATGATGGAAGGAATGAGGGGTGTGGTAGTCAAGGGATGGAGGATGGGGTCTTGAAGGAGCTCGCGGTGAGAGATCATTTTCTCGTCGACCTAACGGGTCGTAGGCTACATGGGATCTCTCATTTGTTGGCAAAGAGCCAGGTCCGTAAAGGCGAGGTGGTAACGGGTCGTGACTGGGTTCTGGAGGAGCCCCAAATGTTGAGGGATGGGTGAAATGCTGGCGATGTGGGTGTTTAGGGTCCATTGTTAGAGTGTCGCCCTGAGCGTGTGTTTACTGATCAGGTTGAAAAATCCTAGGCCTCCAAAGCGAACCCAGGGCACCATAAGAACAACACTAACTCTTAACGTCGAATGTGATCGTGTGCTGTCGGGTGAGAAAGGGATGGAAAGGAGATCAAGCGAGATAGCGAGCTTTGTCATCAAACTGACGCAAACTGTGCAAGGTGAACAGCTATGGTGAAAAGATGGCTTGACAAGAGACGACAAGGGATGGAGGGAAAAAAAATAAATGAATGGATGATGATGGCTAGCGGCAGATTACTGTTTCCTGACGCTACACCTCCATTCCACAGCTCCAAAAGCGAAAAAACGGCGGGAGCCCTAGCATGCGACAGGGCATCCTCAATTTTCGCGGGCGGTGGGACCAAACAGTAGGTTACCGGCTAACGTGTCTAGGCCCATCCCATCCGTGCAGCCCCTGCTATCTATTAGCCAGCCAACAAATATACTAGGGTTTGAGACTACTTAGGTATGGAGCGAGAAACTGGACTTGGTTTCAAGGGAACGAGTCGTAGGCCAGCGTTTCCGCATTAATGACTGTGGAGGAAAAAGCAATGAGCGACAAGTGTGCCACCCCAAGCCAAGTGGAGGGAAGATAGCGTGATTTGTGATATCTCTAATGCTGGGCCACGGTTGAGGATCTTCTGAGAACCCCCATACTTGGTAAAATATCTGCTCAAACGGGCTCGATAATTAATTTTCATTCAATGGAGAAAGAATAACGAGGAAATATTTCTACGTGGCCATCTTTTTGCTACATCTGAATTCCAATGCGAACGTCGGGAGTACACACACACACACGAATGAATGGATCCGTCGAACCTACCATTAGTATTCTAGATCTAATGCTCATCAACAAACTCGCTGCAGAGAGCCGACCTGGTTTATTTTATTTATTTATTTTTATTTTTATTTTTTTTTTTTAAAAAAAAAGCTCAGTAGCAAAGATGAAGTCGATAGAGTTTCCACCAGGGAGGCTAAGGACGAAGCTTGTGGGTCTCTCGTACCGTGGATACAGCGCTCCTTTTAAGTGACACATCCACGTCCATGGCGCAGAACACACGATACATACCAAAGTAACGCGACCGGACATCTGAGTTAGTTTGCATAATATTAATGTTAAACACCAGTTCGAAAGAATTGAACTTTGGGGGTAACTATTCAATCCCGCATACATCTTATCTTTACAGTCCTTTTGCCTCGATCGATTTTCATCTTGTGAGAATGCTATGCCCATTATTTTAAGATATCATACACTGCCGGTTTTGACCTATTTTACATACGTCCTTCATCCATTCATGATGCCTAAATGCTCCGCAGATATTAGACTCGCAAATCAAGCATATCAGCCCAGTTAAATCACCATCATACAACCTTAATCAAAATAAGGTAACCCAAAGCTTGAAATTGTTTAGCCCAAGCACTTCCTCGCCTCTCCTCACTTTGCCATTGGATCGAACGTGGAATCTGACGAATTTGCTCCAGGTGGAATAAACATGGAGGCGTTGGGATTTCAACAGCTTGGATCCCCAGATTGGATCCCCAGAGAAGACTAAGAGTATCACGAAAATTATATGCAGAGACCCACTTGACTGGGGCAAGGAGGATGCAGGTAATATACCTCTCAATCAACAACCCGGACCCATGAGAGGGATAATAATGTCCCTCAAATTACCCCTTTCTCCTCCTCTGCAACATATTCTCGTTTTAAGGCGCATAGAATCTCACCCATCCTCGGCAACCTCAGTTAGTAAATGAACTCTTAGATGGGCTGAAATATGAGGCTGGAGAGAGCCTCCTCGTCATTGTGCAAGGTTCCCACCAAAGCAACAATCTCGAAATCTCGTTCTCCTCTATTTCTTTCTCGATTACATATCACTCCTATATTACGCAAACAATGACAGCTCCTCCTCAGTCCCTTTGTGCTTCTTTTGCCTCCTCCGCTAATTTATTTTGTAGTTACAGCATGGGTCTGATTCTGACGTGCAACCCAAACGCGAAACAGATAGACAACATCAGCCCTGCATCATCCACTGGCTTTTATTTCTCGTTTCAGGAGGCAAACTTTTAGACTTGATACCAGGGAAATATATGTCTAGTTCCTGAAAATTTCCATAATCCTTCTCCTGCCAATGTTGTGAACTTGTACGTTCCATTCAAAAGTTGCACTCGATCTCTTAATACAGGCCCTCTCCAATGAAGGGGCTGGTGTTTGTCATCGAGAAAACGATAAGCCAGACACGGCTAAACATTCAATCCTAAGAAAACATCCACACTGAAAACCGACAGGTGCAAAGAGGGGAACAGAAAGACAAGGAAAATGCAACCCTGTTTGTATCGGAATGTGGTCACGGTTGGCGAGTGCGCATTGTTCAAGTTGCACTGTTCATCTGACGACATTGACACTGCATCACCATGATCCCCAAGTTGGTCTGTATGTACAGTACATGCATACATGCATACACGTAGATGTATTGTTTCTTGTATCCTCTTTGCCTGGTAGGGCACAATCTCTTATTTACATTTTCCCTACGTGTCTCTCCCGCTTCGCCGGGTCATACCCCGCCAGATTCTGGATGGCATTTTCTTCTACGCAGCAAGGTCCAATGGATGGATACCTAGTGTGACCATGACAGTCATTCCCTGGGATGTTTGCTCTGCTTCTGGAAGAAGCAGGGGAGTGTTGACGTACACGCACATATATGCTGAAGTGCAGAACACACACTGGTTCTATCAATTTTCTTCAACCTGTCACTTTTTTTAATTTCATCTTTCATACACATTCCAACCACCGACGTATCATCAATCGTTCATACCTCTACGTAAACTGATATCACACTCTTGTATCACAAAGCCATCTACCTAAGCGTGGCGTAACTATATTCTCGCATGATATTTGGAGTTCTTCGCTCTGCATGCACCTTCTTCCATAGAAATTCTCCCTACAATCCCTTCTGTTTTATCCTTTCTTGATGATTTTTTGACCCTGTGTAACTACAACGCCCGCGTATGCATATGCACTGAACACGTATGTACAATATACCTATCTATATCCAAGTAGGGAGACACGAAGAAGGGCACTTCTTAGTCCGTATGTGCTTTTGAATTCTTAAATCTACTCTGCAAAGGTGGTGATATATTTTTTCTTGTACATACCCATAAAATATTTAAGACAAGAGAGAAAAAAGCCTGAATTCATTCGTTGTTGACGCAGTCCTATGTTCGTTTATCAAGGTGGCGGGTGATGGGAAACTGTAGGTGGGTAGTGCCAGATGTCTTTGTGTATGCGTGTACATTGCATACGTGTAGCTGATGGACGTACGCTTGGCCGAGTAGCAAGGTGTATTAAGCTTTGAGACATGGCGATTGGTGTCTGTAGTTGGGATTGGGGTTTAGCGGTGTTGGCATATACTTGGGATCGCATTTCGGGTTGGAGTGGAGCTTCATTGTATGTAAGTAGATGCTGTGCTGTCCAGATAAACGGGGAATTTTCTTTGAATTTTGTCATAGTATAAGATCAAGTTCTTGCTTCAGGGCATGAGGTGTGTCAGACTTAATAGGTATGCACAGCACATACGCTGTACCTGTAAGGTTCCTAAGTAAATGCGAGGGTGCGGTTTGCTGCGTCATAGCTTTGTTCAGAAGCGGGGCGAGGAAGCTGTGGGATAGAGTCTCCCACTGCGACTGGAGGACGGAGTTACAGCCGCGAACCATGTGGAACCAGTCCAGAATCTCCTTCTGGGCGGCTAAGCCCTGCAGCCCTGGAGGTTTATCTGCTAACGATTGTTTATGGTAAAATACATTCCTGGCTCTGGATGTCAGGATTGTTCAGGATAAAATAAAACTGACTTGCTTTCCAAGCATCCCTACATCAATAGGAACATCAACGAAAAGCCATATGAGATTCTCGTTTCGTGCATCAAACAGGTCGTCACCTGGCAGGAAATTCCGCCAGAGGGCCAGAAGTTGTTCCATCCGCTCGGTTCACGAAAGAAATTTTTCAAATCGAGAGGGAAGTATCTTGGAATCACGGCGTTTTGCAATGCCTTGGAGCCGATTTTAAAGGTCAACTTTGAGAACAATAAAAAAAAAAAAACAGTGAACGGCGAAGGCAGGGACAAGCAGAGAATAGGGTGACGTGACCGTCACATCGCGCAAAAACGTGTATTTGTTATATAGTGGCTTATGCCCCATACATACCTAGATAGGTAGCCTGACAGATTGTCACGTTAAGCAATAATATTCAGGTATCTCATGCCATCTTCTTGTCATATGATCCCAGGGATATAGGCTCAATGGCTGCGGGGATATCACACCTATAAACTTGAGGTCCATTGACTGTTTCAAGTCTAATGTGTGTACCTAAGTACGCAATAACATATCCATTCGTCCAGGAGGACTTTGGGGCTGAAATATTCAGAGTGAGTGCTGTTCCGTAGAAATAATTTTGCCGTGCTTTTTGGCGGCTTCCAAGGTTATTGGACGGCTGACAGGACGGATTAGCAATTGCACATTGCATGGCCAATACTTATGTCTCAATACAAAAGACTGGTCCAGAGGCAGTCGAACGATGTTGAAAGGGTAGTATCGTTTCGTTAAGAATTCGAAGTTGTGTCCAAGATTTTAAGTAACTGTTTATTCGTTTGGAGGTTCATCACGTGGGCCTGAGAGAGGTTGAGCGCCTGAGGCCTCCCGCGGTAACAGCTTCAACCTCCGACAAGGCATCTTCTGGTTCACTTGCGATGAAACTGGCCATCCAACATCCTTATATACCAACTAGCTAGAAGATATGGGACGAAACCCCCGGGTTCCTGTGTAGAGTTCAAATAACTCCCCTTCTCAAATACTTTCGCAGTTAAATTAACCTAACGCCCTGACCGTAAGCCCGAAGCTCTCCGAATCTTCCGCTCCAATCACCGTACAGGAAGATATTTGTGACCCATATTCCACCTAACTAGATGAAAACCCAGGATCCCAACCTTATCTCACCCCATGAACCCATCTAATGCCTGACTCGGACTTGAACCGCTTTCATCCCTCCACCCCAATGCTCCCTCTACCAGGTTCCCCCTCCTTCTCCTGGGCCACCTTCCGCGGACGGTTTCAAGCTCTCTTCAACGGTGCGGATCCACGAATATGCGCCGCCTTCTGGCTTTTCGGTGAGCTATTATACCAAGAGCTCTGTCGGGTTAAAACTCCCCCCGAAACCCCCCCCCAAAAAACAAACAGCCCTTAACAAATCCCTACACAACAGGTCTAATAAACAATGTCCTCTACGTAATAATCCTCTCCGCAGCCCTCGACCTAGTCGGCCCCTCAATCCCCAAATCCGTCGTGCTCCTTGCCGACGTCGTCCCCTCCTTCATCATAAAGCTATGTGCTCCCTACTTCATCCACGCAATCCCTTACCCAATCCGCATCCTGATATTTGTCACCCTATCAGCATCCGGCATGCTCCTTATTGCCCTCTCGCCATCCTACATACCAACCTCCACCCCCGCCAAACACGTCTCAGCCTCCTACTTCACCTCCGTCTTCAGTCCCGCAAACCCCATCTCAACCAAAATGCTCGGCGTAATACTCGCCAGCCTGTCCAGCGGTGGCGGCGAGCTAAGCTTCCTGGGCCTAACGCACTATTACGGGCCTTTCGGTCTTGCGGCGTGGGGGAGCGGGACGGGTGCAGCGGGCCTTATTGGGGCGGGAGCGTACGCGCTGGCGACGACGACGTTTGGGTTTAGTGTGAAGGTTACGTTGTTGTTTTCGGCGGGGTTGCCGTTGGTGATGCTTGTGAGCTTTTTTATGGTGTTGCCGTTGGCGCCGTTGAAATCTGCGGTTAAGAAGAGTGGGGGATATAGGGCTGTTGATGAGGACGAGGGGGAGGGCGATGTGGATAGTGTTTTGGGGAGGGGGCACAGGAGCAGGGGGATGGATGATGGGCATGTGGGTGGTGTGAGTGTGAGTGAGAGGGAAGGGCTTATGGGGAGGGATTTAGAAGTTGTAAGGGAGGATGAGGGTAAAATTGTTAATGGGGGAGGGGGGGATATATCTTGGATGCAGTTCAAGGCAAATTTGAAGAGGGCGAAGGGGCTATTCTTTCCATTGTAAGTCTATTAATTCTATCACGGAGTTCATCAACTTAACTCCTTTTTAACTAACCTACACAGCATGCTCCCCCTCCTCCTCGTCTACATAGCCGAATACACCATAAACCAAGGCGTTTCCCCAACCCTTCTCTTCCCACTCTCCTCAACACCCTTCAGCCACTTCCGGGCCTTCTACCCAGCCTACAACGCCATATATCAAACGGGCGTCTTCATCTCCCGCTCCTCAACCCCCTTCTTCCGCATCCACGACCTCTACCTCCCCTCCTTCCTGCAAGTGATCAACCTAGTCATCCTCGTAGCGCATGCGCTCTTCAACTTCCTGCCCAATGTGTATGTGGTATTTTTGATCGTGTTTTGGGAAGGGTTGTTGGGTGGCCTTGTGTACGTGAATACGTTTGCGGAGATCACGGAGAAGGTTCCGAAGGAGGAGAGGGAGTTTTCGCTGGGGGCGACGACGGTGAGTGATTCGGGGGGGGTTTGTGTGGCGGGGTTTTTGGGGATGGTTGTTGAGGTTTGGCTGTGTGATTGGCAGGTGAGGAGGGGTAGGGGTTATTGCAGGCAGTTATAGGGTGGGAGGGAGAGTTAGTCCATTTCATGTCGCGTGTGCCCTTTCTCACTCTCACACGTCGTACCCCATTTATCTTATATATCTCTGATTCCCATCTTGGCGCGTAGGATGTTATATTCTTTTGCTTGTTCTTGGTGTTTTTGTTTTATGTTACATTCAGCTGGCGGTCATCTGTGAGCGTATGTATGCATATATGTCTTCCTCTGTTATCCAGGGCATCCAAATGGCGATTTTAATTCGAAGGGTTTATTGTATGTACGTTTACGTTCCCATACCATAGCTGTACATGTACGGAATGTCCTTAGCCTAATTATCGATCCCTCATATATCAATACCATCACCTGAGCATGTTCCTGACCCTATCCAATCCCGTCCTGTGCCTTTGGCACCAACACAGGAACAGTGCAGTCCAATGCCACTTCATCCAACCCTCCTTTCCCAATTAAACGGGATATACAAGAAGAGAAAAACAGCCACAAGCTCCCCCCTATTGTTTTCGCTACTGGCGGATATACGCGACAACTCCAAAGGGGCAGCTGGCTTCTGACGATCAGTGGAAGAACACCGCGATACGGCGCGATACGGGCCCGTATTGAAACTACCACTCTAGAAACCACGTGACCCATCCTTCAATACCATACGGCATATTATGCGCGTACTGTAATTTATCACATGCTCATGGATCACATGCTTTCTCCTTGCCCGCAGGGCGAATGAAGGTGTTTTCTGTCTCGAAAGGGAAAAGGAACAGATAACTACACTTTGGATGATGCGTTGATAGATCCTGATAGCTAAACCCCCGCCTCCTTCATTGTCTCCTCTTTTACCTGCCCATACATTTTGATTGCCCTTGAGCTGTAACTTAACTACATTACATACGTACATTCCCACCGACATACATCGATCCTCCGGGGGTTCTGCCTGCCAGCTTCGGCCTCCCTGCGTCCTGCTATGCTTCCCTAAGGTGCTGCTGCTTGCGCTGCTCGATCTCTGCCAGCTGGTTATTTCTGTCCTTCGTCTCCCGCTCTCCACATCTCCCCGATCCTATACACGGTTCAACAGCAGCAGAGCACGTTCTGTGTTAGCAAGTCACATAGCTGTGATCATAAGAAAGCCCAGCTCCACGGGCAGGGCAGTATAGACGGGATAAGGGCATCTTCAGCCTTAGGAGGAGGACGAGGAGGAGGAGGAGAGGACTCTGGCATCGCGAGATCATACTGGGAATTGAGTTCGGTTGGCTGGAAGAATTTTTTTTTTTTTTTTTTTTTTTTAGTAACTTTGCTTATTGAAAAAGAGGGCCGGCTTGCTGTATATAGTTAGAGTTCTTGATTTCTTTGTTTGATTTCCTGCTTGACGGTGTTATAACAGCAAATAACTGAGGGGATACGCACAAACCTATATCTACGGATACCACCCACGCTGCATGAATCGCGGAGCCGCACGAGGGGATTCAAAGGCCGGTAAAAATGATAGGTATGATAGCTATTGTCGGTGAATTTTGCATTAGCATTTGTTTGTCCTGTCTCACGGAAAGGCCATTGGCTGACATTATACAATTAATATAGATCACGTCCTGGGAAGACCGTCTACACAGTTCCGCAAGATACAAGTTTTTGCAGTGGTGTCGTTTTGGTTACTGTATCTCCTCCGGTGCGTGCTTCCATATAACGAACTGATATATATACTATCATTCCATCGTCTTCCCGGACCCAAAATACAAATAAATTAACGGGGTGTTTTCACAGAGGTAATAACCATGGACCACCTGGTATCCGCCTCCTATCCTCCCGCCTATACAGGCGCCTCACCCCTTGGCAGGCTACCGTCATGACCTTCCTAGGCCTCTACCTATCCCGTAACTTCGCCAAGTTAGTGGGCCTCGAATCCCCAGAGCCCCTAGCAAACCTGTACTCCCGCTCCTACTTCCGAGCTACATGGGTTACTACAGCACTGGACGCGGGCTTCTGGACAGCCATGAATATCAAGCGCAAGTGGCTGCGTGACATCGCATCTGTCGTCTTCTCGATATACTATCTGATCGCGGCGGAGCATGCGGATGAGAAAGTAAGAAAGGTACGGGCTGTGTTGACCGTGGAGCATCTGCGCGTATCCTGGAATAAAGGTACGACGCCATATCTGTCGTTTTTGTCAAAGTTGGTGAGGCCGCGGGTATGCGACTATTCTCCGATTCAGATACGGATTCCCAGGCCCAGGGAGTCAGCGTATACGGAGCCGTGTGTTGCCTGGTTGTATTACAATGGTCCCCTCAGCACTTTGAAGGATCAGACAAATGTAGTCCTCGATATACCCGGTGGAGGGTTTGTGGCCATGTCTCCGCGGACAAGCGATGATAAGCTCCTGGTCTGGGCGGGTAAGACGGGTGTGCCGATTCTCAGTCTGGATTACAAAAAGGCACCCGAACATCCGTATCCGTATGCGCTGAATGAGTGCTATGATGTCTACCATACTATCGTCAGCAGTCACGGGCGTTGTCTGGGGCTAAGTGGTAAAGTGCGGCCCAACATTGTTATTACGGGTGACAGTGCTGGTGGGAATTTAGCCGCAGGTGTCACGTTGATGATACTGCAGTCTGGGAGTGCGGACCTGACGCGAAAGTTGAAGGGGAAGGGAGAAGGAGACTACTCCCTTCCCCCTCCAGCTGGGCTGGTGCTGATTTACCCTGCACTGGACATGAACATCGGCAGCTGGATGACGGATGAGGAAATGTCCTTGATTCGCGAGCGGGGGATGCGCAAGACGAACCGCAATGTCCTTCGGAGGAAGAGCGAGGAATACATGAGATTAACACCCGCCGCGTCCTACCTCTCAACCGCCGACGCCAACGCCAACGCCAGTGACGATTCCTCAGGTCGCCACCCAGTCGTCCACGACTATTTCGCCCAACAGCACGCCGGCATCATACATGAGGAACGCCCTCCGTCCTTGAACACCGAAAACATCGACACGCCCGTCCCTGGAAACACTGCCTCCCACCTCCTAACCACCATGACAACCTCCGCCCAGCAAAACCCCAAGCAAATAAAAACACGCCTCGCAGTCTCCTCTATAATCTCGTACTTCAACGATCGCATCCTGACACCGGAAATGATGCGCGCCATGATAATCCTCTATATAGGCCCATACAACCGCCCGGACTTTAGCACAGACTACCTCCTCTCCCCCCTGCTGGCTCCCGAATCCCTGCTCTCCAGATTCCCCAAAACATATCTTTTAACAGGGGAGCGGGATCCGTTGGTTGATGATACGGTTATTTTTGCGGGGAGGATCAGGAGGGCGAAAATGCATGCATGGCGGGAACGGGCGGACTTGGGGCTTGAAAGGGTGGCTAGGGGTCGGGATCGGGATCGGGATCGGAATGGGGATGGGGATGAGTCGGGGTTTAACGAGAGGAAGTGGGTGGAGGTTACCTTGATTCCAGGGATTTCTCATGGGTTTCTGCAATTCGCCGGGGTGTTTCCGGAGGCGTGGAGGGAGATATCTAGGGGGGCTGGGTGGATACGGGAATTGTTTGAGAGGGCGGACAGGGCGGACGGGGCGGGGAGGAATGGGGTGGCTGTAGAGGGCGTAAGGGGGGGTCCATCGACGATGGCGAACGAGATAGGTGGTGGTAAATTTGGGGCCAGAGCTCCTAAGGGCAGTCAAGAAGAGAAGAATGTACCGTCATGCCATCACCCGCGAAGACTCACGGGGGAATCATCCGGGGAGGAAGACAAGCCGTTGGAAATGAGTATGTTAAGAATGACGAAGAAGAGGAATACGGCTTCGTCGCCGTCAACGTCTACCTTTCGATCGACGATGTTGCAGGAAAACGGTACCGCGCCCAAGACAGCCGCAGGCTCTTCGACAGCTACCCTACGACCATCTGACGTTATACCAACGACAGGGACAACGCCTCCTGTCGAAGAAGGACAGACACCTTGTGCCGCTAAGAGCCAATCCCCCACTGGAAACGGCTGCGTGAACGGCGACAGGAACTTCTCCGCCAAGCATGGCCAGACACTACTGGATAAACAAAATGGCATTCACGAAGACGAGGAGGGGGATGACAAGCAAAACACCCCGCCCTGGGGCAAGAATGTGATGATGAAAATTTCCCTGCAGCGCGAGAAGAGTTTGACGAGTTTGCCTAGTGAGGAGGATTTGTTGGGGAGGCGGATGGAGGGGCTGGCAGGGGGATTGATGGGGATTGGAGAGGGGGCGAGGACACCGTAGATTTTCTTCTTCTTCTTCTTCTTCTTCTTTTTTTTTTTCTTCTTCTTCTTCTTTCTTCTTCTTCACCATGGATGGACGTGTGTAAATTCAGAGTTATTCCCCTTTCTGTTTTGCGGGTTTTGAGGGTTTGCGTTGTTGCATCGCGGGGTTTCCTTTTCTCCTTTTAGCATGTTATGATGTACGATGTGGGTGGGTAACTAGGTGGATGGTTATCGTTTAAGTATATATTACTTGGGTGCAGTATGTACACCTATATATATTAGCGAGGCATTGAGGTAATCTGTGCAATGTGCATGTGATTTCGATACGAGAGATGAGATTAATGTATTATCTTCATCAGTAAATGTCACGAGAATACTCGTTATGATTTGTTGTCCCGTTCCATAGCCTGCTTTTTGGAGTCGTCCGTCATGCACCAGGCCTTTTTTCACTGCTTGATCAGAGGGTCGGGTCAGGCATGGGCCAAGGAGGCAGAAAAGGCGGGCATCGCTAGATATATAAAAGAAAGCACTTGTGCATGATACTGTGCAAACAGTGAGGAATTGAACTGTTAGTGGGATTTTGACTTTTTGGTCAATGGAAATAAATTGTAATAGGGGTGGGTAATTTACCTAGATAGGCTCGATATTTAATGAGTTAGGGGTTGGTTGTCATTTAAGGGGTTGAGGTTCAAATGCAGAAATTAAAAGGCATTAATTAAGTACGCTGGTCTATTGTTCTCTCCCGAGATGCGCTATTCTTGAACCATAAGCCCAAAGGAAAACAACCACCCAATTGATCATGTAACTATAAAATCATGTAGATGTGAGAGAAAAAAGGGATAGCATCGAACCATTTTGTCTATCTGAAAAGAACCAGGTAATTTTGTATAAACCCTCACCCGGAAAAGCTAAGCTTACGTTTACTCGTTAGATCGAGCGACCTTAGAAAATGCCGCTTCCATCGCCTCTCCCAAAATCCCCAACCCTTCCCTAATCTCATCATCTTTGATGATCAACGGGGGCACAAACCTCAAACACCCCTCCCCAGCCGTAATAATCAGCAACCCCCTTTGTCTCGCCTCAGTGACAATATCCCCCACAACCCCCTGATACGGCTCCGCAAGCTGCAAGCCCATAATCAACCCTCGCCCACGAATATCCGCAACCGCTTCCGGGAATCTCTTCCGCAACTGCTCAAGTCCGGACCTGAAGGCCACAGACCGCGAGCGCACGGAGGACTGCAAAGCGCTAGACGCAAGGCGGGTAAGCACATGCTGCGCCACACGACAGGCCAGCGGGTTCCCGCCAAACGTCGTCCCGTGGTCGCCCGTCTTTATGAACTGCCCGACCCCGTCGGAGATGATGGTGGCGCCGATAGGGATACCGTTGCCCAGCGCCTTGGCGGTGGTGAGGATATCCGGGTGCGCGGGGAGGAAGTGGTCGTCCTTTGGTTCCAGGGCTGGGTTGGCATGGGCCCATAGCGAGCCGGTGCGCGACAGGCCGCATTGAATCTCGTCGAAGATGAGGACGGCGCCGACATCGTCGCAGCGGGTGCGCAGGGCGCTGAGGAATTCGGGCGTGGCGCTGTGCACGCCTCCTTCCCCCTGGATGGGTTCGACGATGACGCCACACGTTTTCGAGGTGATGAGGGAGGGTAGTTGGGCGACGTCGTTATATGTGCCGTATTTGAAGCCGGGGACCATAGGGGCGAAAGGGGCCTGGTATTTTGGGTTTGGGGTTGCGGAGAGGGCCCCGAAGGTGCGGCCGTGGAAGGAGTGGTAGAAGGAGACGAATTCGTATTTGGACCCCGAGGCATCGAGGCTGTGGCCTACTTTTCGGGCGAATTTTATGGCGGCTTCGTTGGCTTCTGTGCCGGAGTTGCAGATGAAGGCTTGCGAGGCCGTGCGCATTGCGCCGGAATCTAGGGTGTAAGTTACCAGTAGCTGGCTGAGTGTGCCGGTCCATTTATTGTGATAGAGATTCGAAGCGTGCATTAAAATCCTGGACTATATGAATACGTTAATTCCTCCATTCCCTCTCCGTGGTCTTATGAGGATAATCATTTGGGAGGTATTCACCTGTTCTGATATGATTTCGGCAACTCCGGGGTCGGAATGGCCGAGGGAAGTGACGGCGATGCCAGCTGTGAAATCTAGATATTTTCGCTGCTCTATGTCCCATAGATAGCATCCTTTGCCCGAATAAATTACGGGAGGTGGTCGCACGTAAGTTGGTACCATGAACGGGGCTTGCTGGCCAACGAGTTGCCCTGAAACCGAATCAGGCGTAGGATCCTCATGGGAGGGAGTCTGTTTTACACCCTGCCAGCTGTTTGTTAACCCTATGGCTCTTAGGATATAAATACGAATAGACATACCTGGACTCTCTCAGCCCCTGACTTTGTCGAAACATATCTCAATTGTCGACGTGAGTCAGACTCCGCGAAGAATCTCGCTAAACGAACGCAATGCGGAATTCGCCTTGTTGCTGTACGGAAAGCCATTGCCTGGATTATGAGTCAGGCGACTCAGGACACCACACGCCAATGGCAAGCCTCAGCCAGCTTGAATAAAAGGTCAATATCAAAGGGCGATATTTTGCGGGAGAGGAGATGTGGAGGTGTCAATTCATATTGTTATCATTAGATGATCTCAGTTAACTCTTTCAGGAGGTTCAGATGCGGAGCTGCCTTGAATCTTGGCGTGTTTGCATCGTGTGTGTTTGCTTCACTACAGCTGGCTTCCCCCAACTTTGTTGAACCTTCACAACATCCATCCGTCACTGAAGAATATCGCCTGATGTTCTTGTCAGGTAACTACCGGTCCTCACGCCCCAGTGGCGTGGCCGAAGCCAAGTAGCATGATTTTTGTCTCGTAGATTGCAAGCAACAGCTCCAGTGCCGAGAAGTCTTTGCGTGTTAATCCTACGATCCGATGACAGAGACGTTGGCCACTATGGAAGCCCGTACGATATGTGCATTATTCATGAGTTTTGCTGAGGGCCAATCGCCGGACACCGTTTGGGAATCATATGATGAAGCAACAAAACGTCGTGTCACCGATCAGTTGAAGGGATGTCTCTATGACATGCGCAATATATCGGCTGCGGTTGGTTTCCTACATTGGCTCAGCTGATAGGGCCCTGATTGGGGCCCTTACTTGGTCTTGCTCGCGAAGAAGCGGTACAAGTCTCTACAGCCCGCCAGCACATTGCAGCTCTATGGTGAATAGCACGCGTCTGTGCATGCGGGAAACGAAGGAAGGTTTAGAAGGCGAATTCATGTCACCGCCATCTTCTTCCATCAAAACCTGGCGCAGATGCGGAGCATGCACTTTCAGAGTATCACGCTTGACTTCCACAACGCTTAGTGGAATAAAGGTGATACCTCATATTTTGGCAGATTCCGCAGCGCCTTTAAGCCGAAGGAGTAAACCTTTAGCTTCTCTTGGTGGACGTTCTCCTCAATATGATTACAGAGCTTTTGGCGTACTTCCACGCCTTTTGTCCTCGTAATCCCGCACGGTGCTCTTGCACAATTGCCTGATCGAAAGGTATTTCTTCAACAAACAGCAAGACCAGCCAGCAGCATGGATATCATGCAGGCCAGGCCAGGCCAGGCCAGGCCTCAGCCTCGCTTTCTCTGATTGATATGAGCCCCCAACTTTCTCGTCTGCAATGATCTGTTAGTCTAATGGCGTGTTGGATTAATTGATTAATTAATTTGGGTATATAGTTATGCCGTGAGAGATGAATGTAGCATTGATGGCGAGGTTTCAGCCCCCTCTCTCATTGTCACGATTGCTATGGACAGGCGCCATTGTCGCCATGGATACGGCGAACGTGGATCACGTTTGCAGGATAGTCATTGCATCTGCAATGTATTTGCTAGCCTGCTATCTCTCGGCCCGCGTCGGGAATGTCGTTTGTGCCTTCGACTTGAGCAGATCAGAGAACAGGCTGCTCCATCAGCTTCCGCCGACATGTCGGGTCATAGCAGTCTATCGCGTGACCCAAAGGTACCATTTACGGTGTATAGGATTTGTGTTCAAATGGCCATTTCAAAGTTGACATGCTTCCTAAGCTTCTTCTTCCTTTTATTGGAGATTACTTGTTCAGGTTAATAACTATCGTCATCTTGATCAAGCATTTTCTAGGATCACTCTTGTGTTCACTCAGATCACTATTTTCTAGACTTAGTATATTTTAAGGTTAGAATTTTCTAAATCTAGTATTCACTGGATTCATCATTACTCCGTAAATACTTGAGAGTGTTAAAAAGGCGTATAGGGGTCTTTGGGCTGGCGGTTATGGCATTGAAAATCTTTAATCTTATCTGATCGGATCAAAGATGTTCCAAAGAACAACCTCGGATCGATCTTCTTTTCCGTCTCCGGCTTCCGCAACGAAAGCATTTTTCTCTTTGCTTTTTCTTCAAGTCCGCTGTTTGTTGTTATACTCAGCATATATCACGATTAAACTGTATATTCCTGCTTGAAAGTAACCTGGCATAGACTCATTCGCAATGACATCCCCTGTTGCCCTCCGCCTCCTCCTGCAACCCCGCATTGTTCTCCGACACATCTCCTGCTCTATCCATCCCTCTCGAACCTTCTCATCTAACCCACTATCAAACAGCAACGGTGCTCGCGATCAATTCGGAAACGGTCCTTCACCACCTCGTCTTCCCAAAGAAGAGCAAGAAATCTTCGAAAACCTCCAAAAACAATCAACTGGTGCATTTAGCACTCCCCGCTCGCCGCCAAATATCAACCAGTCTCCCCAATCATCAGAATCCTCCTCCTCCCCGACAACAGGCAACTTCCAATTTGAAGCGACCGGATCAGGCGAGAAATTACACCCTGATATCTACCGTGGTGCGAAGCCGGAGTTTGAAGGAGACACGAACCCCAAGACGGGTGAGGTTGGGGGTCCGAAGAATGAGCCGTTGAGATGGGGTGCGCGGGGAGATTGGAGTTTTAATGGGAGGGTGACGGATTTCTGAAATCACAGAACGCGATACATTAATGGGCTAACATTGTTGGAGATGGGGGTATAAGGAACCAGCCATTTTCCTGACATGACCTGCAGGGTAGGGCGGGATTTCGAAGATGGTGGTAACTTAATAGACTTCCAGAATGGCTTGAACGATTTCAACCTATATCTTTCATCTCGTGACCAGGGAGACGAAACGATGGAACTGACGGATTTTAATCTTCACTGTGAGGTTCGCAAACCGGAAAGGGACGTTGCGCACTGGAGTTGCGAAGGGCGAGACTGCAATGACGCCAAGCTAAAACCGTTTCTAGTTTGAGATGCGTCTATTCTCGTAGCTAGGACAAAAAGCCTCGCTACTCTGTTGTGCTTAAAACAGGACCGCACAAGCTTGCTCTCTGTTCTGATTTTTTTGGCATATCTCTCCTTTCGCATACGATTACAATAGGAATTACCGGTGATGTTAAAACGCGGCGGAAACTGCAAGAGCATTGATATCCAAAACAGCACACAGAATAGAACTCTTTTCTTTCTTTTTCTGTTGACCGTACTTATTATTATTCCTGTTATGTAAACAAATTCTGTGCAAATATACATCCATTTATAGCAACACAATCACAAAAATTTCTCAGCGGGATCTATTTCTGGTTTGAGGTAAGGAACAGGGATACAATTACTATGCGATTTTATATTTACAATATGGGAAAACACCAAGGGAAATGAAACAAGATAAAAGTGGCAAAGAAATACCACTTCATGCTCGTACAGCTGTAAAATCCACAAAGCTTTAGGGCATCGTAAAGAAGGGTTCTCTAGCGTTCGGGGGTCAACCAAACCGAATGATGGCAGCAGATTTGAATATTTCAATAATTGGTAATGGTGAAATTAGCGGAGGTGTATAATTTCCCTAGTAAAGATATTTTGGTCTATTCAGGTTTTCCCAATCGGCCTTTCCGACCACGGCTGCTGGAGTAGACACACCATGAAGATCGAGAGCAAAATGCAAAAATAGATAGATATATATTAGCCCTGAAGTCGAGCAACAGTAGCCTTTCCTGCTCTGCTATCATTCGCCCTGCCTAATTCATTGCTAATCCAAGCCCCGATCCTCGAAACTTCCTCCAGATTGACACCTGTCCGCATCCCTAGGCTATGAACGGTGTGAATAATATCTTCCGTAGAAACATTTCCAGTAGCGCCTTTAGAGTAAGGACAGCCACCAAGTCCTCCGACGCTACTGTCAAAGATTCGGATACCATGTTCCAACCCAACGATCGTGTTGACGAGCGCTTGCCCGTAGGTGTCATGGAAGTGAAGAGCCAGGTCATTGTTGGCGATCCCCGCAGCGGTGAGGGTTTGTAGCAATTTCAGCGTTCGAGGCGCAGTTCCCATTCCCGTCGTATCGGCGACTGAAACTTCGTCCGCACCCATCTCAAGCAAGGTAGCTGTTATTTCCGCAACTTTGTGTGGACAGACCTCCGGACCTTCATATGGGCACCCAAGGGCGACAGATACGTATCCACGGACACGGATATTTTTCTCTTTGGCAAGTGCCACTATGGGTTTGATGCGCTCGAGGGACTCATCAATGGTACAGTTTGTGTTGGCTTTTGAAAAGGCTTCGGTTGCAGCGGCAAAGAGAGATATTTCGGTCGTGGGTTTTGGAGGAGAATGGGGACTTGAAGCTTCGGATGCGGGAGGACAGTCAGCCTCCATTATTTTAACTAGGTTTTGGAGTCCCTTGATATTGGGGACTAGGTAGTTATATGCGATTGAGTGAGTGGCCTTGGGAGGAGTTTTGAGGAGGTATGATAGGATTTCCGGTGTGCTGGCCATCTACAAATCGATCATTGAGGTGTTAGTAACTATTCCGTATACTGAATACCGATTGGAACGAAAAGGGAGCGTGGCGGCACAACATGTAGCCATTTACGGGGTAAGGTATGGGGGAGATGAGAGGAACTACAAACCTGTGGCACCCACTTTTCCGGAACAAACGACCCAGCCTCGATCGTAGTCAGTCCCGTCTTCGCTAGTCTTTCAATGAGCTCTATTTTTGTGCTTAAAGGAATTGATTTCTTTTCATTCTGTAGCCCATCTCGGGGGCCGACTTCAACGATTCGAACATGGTCCCCTGCAAAGCTGGTTTCTGTGGAAAAGAGACGGGTTGGCCGTTGGTGCCGGAGGACTTGCCAGAGCCTGGAAGTAGTTCTAGTGGAGGTAAACATTGTTTTAATATTGTACAGTTAACGGATGGATTGATGTTGTCCCTTTCAAACTGTTTGCTCCTCCGTCGTGTTGCCGCGGGGAAGAATCAACAGGCGAAAAGTGGAGCGGGATACACAGCCAAGGCACGTGACCAGGGAGTGCGGAGAAACTGCGGAGTGATCATGACAGCCAATCAGAGAGTTTGAATCTTTACCGCATGCACCTTGGTGATATTCTGCCGCCATTAGTCCTGTTTGAGACACGGGCGTTATGTCATCATTCATTTGTCCCCGCCAGAAAAAATATCTCAACAATTGATAATTTTTGTATATGGGTCACATATAAATTGGATTTTAGATTTCGGCAAAATTATTTCATCTGCCATGTGGATGCGTATATAATATTTATACTGGTCCTTATTGACTTGAATATTGTCCTTTTCACATTATGGCGGATAATACAACCCTGCTGGTTGACAGCCCGCCGCCCTCTTCCATCCCCAATAAGCCGCCAAATCAATCCCGCCAGCCAAAGAAAAGGTTTGTGGGTCGTAAGACCGCGGATGCCCAAGCACATATTGAGAAGGATGGAGATTCTAAAACTCCGCATACAACTTCCGTCCAGCAGGGCATGTCCTGTTCTAAATATTTCTGTGAAGGCAACTCTCTGCTAACATCATCCGTAGCTCGTCCCCGAAGAGCTCCTCGAGCCCTGAATCAAGTCCCAATCGAAATATTAGAAGACGAGGATATCAAAGCTGCCATCTCCTTTCTCCCAAAAAACTACTCCTTCGAAATTCCAAAAACCATACACCGAATACGAACGTCCGGCGCAAAACGGGTAGCTCTGCAATTTCCTGAAGGCCTCCTCCTCTTCGCAACCACGATATCCGACATCCTCACCCAATTCTGTCCGGGAATAGAAACGCTAATTATGGGCGACGTCACATACGGTGCATGCTGTATAGACGACTACACCGCCCGCGCACTAGGCTGTGACCTCCTCGTTCATTATGCTCACAGCTGCCTCATTCCCGTCGACGTCACAACCATCAAGACCCTCTACATCTTTGTCGACATTAGTATCGACACACAGCACCTCATCGCCACACTAGAACGGAATTTCCCAGCCGGTAAAACAATCGCAGTCGTCGGCACAATCCAGTTCAACGCAACCCTGCACGGGCTCAAACCCATCCTCGAACGTGCCGGTTACACCATCCTCATCCCTCAAATCACCCCGCTCAGCAAAGGCGAGATCCTAGGCTGCACCTCTCCCAAACTACCCCTGGACCAAGTCGACATCCTCCTCTACCTAGGCGACGGCCGCTTCCACCTTGAATCCGCCATGATACAAAACCCTACAGTTCCCGCCTACCGCTACGACCCGTACTCACGAACCCTGACACGCGAATCATACAATCACGACGAAATGCTCACACTCCGCCGCGACGCCATCTCCTCCGCCAGAACAGCGGGGAAATGGGGCATCATCCTCGGCTCCCTCGGTCGGCAGGGGAATCCGCATACCATGACCATGATCGAAAAGCTGCTCAACGAGCGTGGCATCCCCTTTGTCAATTTCCTTCTTAGCGAGATTTTTCCAGGAAAACTAGCCACGATGCCGGATGTCGAGTGCTGGGTGCAGATTGCTTGTCCGCGATTGAGTATTGATTGGGGCTATGCTTTTCCGCGGCCGTTGCTGACGCCGTATGAAGCGCTTGTGGCGCTGGGCGCGAGACAGGGTTGGGATGAGGGGAATGGTGGGGTGTATCCGATGGACTTTTATGCGAAAGAGGGGTTAGGACGCACGAGGGCGGAGGGAGCGGTGGAGGCTACAGCTTGATGGGGAGGGTGAGTGTGATGTCCTGATTCACTTATTCACTTGACTATGTGCTGTCAGGGGTCGAAGCTATGATAATGATTTATGATCTATATTTATGGGGAGGACTATCTCGATTGGAGATTTTATACGCGGCGGACAATTGATCATGTACACGGGGAAAAATCAGGATCGTTTCAGATAACAAAATAACAGCAGGGTACCTTCATGGTCATGCCTTTTTCTCATATGTTATTAATCATGCAATGTTAACAAACTCTTCTCCGAACACACAATCCCAACAGGCGATCACAAATGGATCCCCGATGACAATTTCCGTCTGCTTTTCATGCTCTCAGAACCCCAAAAATCAAAAAAAAAAAAAAAAAAAAAAAAAAAAAAAAAAACACCAATTCATGCATCATGGTCACTTCACTTCATCGGCACTGTCCATGTTAATATCACTCGCACTCCCCCTTCGCAGAGAGAACATGCTCTTTCCCCCCATATCATCAACAGCCCTCTCAGCTGCTCGCCACCTCGACACTGCCTTCTCAACATCGTCATACATCTCCAGCGTATCATTAATGATCCCCCCCTCCTCAAAGTCTGAAGAATCCTGCGTCCCCTCCCTTGAAACTGAATCGTTCTGCATCGGGAACGACGGGCCAAACACTCTGTCAGACGTAGGATTGAACATGACCGCGTTCGCGAACATTCGCACCAGTTCCATTTCCAGTTGGGCTGAGTTGACGATGCCCTTTGGCGGGATGAGCTCTGCGGTCTTCTTCAGTAAGAGACCGTTGGTTTTCGTTGAGGTCCCGATGCTCGGGCCTGGAGACTCGATGTTATCTCCGCTTGGCGTATTTAAGGCCACTGTGGCTGCTGTTACTGCTTTGCTTCCTTGATAAACGGCGGATTTTATAGATTTGATATCCTGTGGCCGATAGATGAGGTTTTTGTAACCAGGTACATCGCGTTCTGTCAAGGGCTTTGCGAATATGGAGGCATATTTATGGGAAGCAACATAGTTCATTATTGGAGCACATGTTCGTGGGAAGTTGCGGGTACACTGTACATATTGGTTCTCTTCCCTATTAGGTGGTTGATTCGCATCTTCGAAACCAGATGCTTCACTTTGGCCACGCTTCCTTTTCGAACTTCTCTTTGATAAGCTTTTGTCTACTTGGGCTTGGTTGGGCGCCCTGAGCCGACTTGATGATCGTTGCTCCATTTCTGTATCGTCTGAGATTCCAGAAGGTGTACTGGGCATTTCATGTTTTATCTTCCGTTGAGTTACGGAGCCGGAATCAGTGATCGACTCATCGTCGCGAGATTCGTTCGATTGAGCACGATTGCGATTCCGCGTGATGCGCAGAGGAGACGAAACGAGATTGTCAGCGGCCTTACTACTAAACGCTGGTGTAGTTTTCCTTCTCCGAGTGTTCCCTGCTGGACCGGTGTCAAAGTCTACATCCGCACCCTGATACGGAAGGTGAGATTTTGATGATGACGATGGCGATTCAATCTCAAACGCAGGTGACGGCGCCTTTTCACTAATGGGGCTTACATCTTCCGGTTTAGGTCGTAGTGGAGAACCAGGAGACTTCGATATGGCAATTGGACTTGGCTTTTTCCATGGGGTGAGCGAACCAGAAGTATCGACAGACGGCCGGGGCGGCCTTCGACTAAGTGAAGCTGAGAAGGACGGGGTGCCACTGTCTAATCTAATGGAGCCGGCATTACCGAGTGGTGTATTAGGACACGACTCTTCTGAGCTAGTGCGGCTTCTAGTATCGCTCTGCAACTGCTGGGGTAACCCAACACCAAGGGGCCGAGATGGTTCTCGTGGAGAACCATACGGACTCTGCAAAGCTTTGTTTACGTCTGGCTGGGCATGTGGAATCGCTTGACCGAATGGTAAAGGAGTTTTCCCAGTAAGTTGGCTGGTTGAGTATGGAACGCTTGCGTAAGGGGATACGTGTGCGTATGGGTTCGGGTTTAATGGACTCAGTGGTTGGGACAGCGGTTGCTGGGTGTTTCGAGCTGGAATAGTTTGCGACGTTTTAGTTTGGAGAGGAATATATTGAACGGGTTGGAAGGTCGCAGTATTAGGCTGCAGTTGCTGCGGCTGCTGCACACCGGTAGGAGTGGGTGTGGGGTGTAGAGAGGGCATTGCTGGCAGCGTGCTAGCTGCTGTGATAGGAGGAAACGCTTGGCTTTTGTCCGCGCCAGGGTCTACTGGAGATACCGTGGAACCCTCAGCCGGTTGGTTTGGGGTTAGAGTACCATATTGTGAACTACGAGCAGGGATTTGTTCATTAGTTGGAAAAGGAGCACTTCCGTTCGCCGAACTTGGTGCAAGAGAACGTGCTGGGATATTCTGCAGCGTAGACTGTTGGCCAGACTGCTGGATTTGCTGTGTTCGTGGAAATTGTGACGAGAGGCAGGCAGAAGTTGGGACAGCTACATTAACACCCTTGCCTTCCATCTGCAGGGCTTGCTGAATCGCTTTTTGCCCTTGTGCTAAGCCAGATTGTGCATGTTGCTGTGTCTGAACATGGTGTAACTGGTCAGAAGATCTAGGAGCTTGGGGTGTTTCCTCGATGCCCCGCCTTTCCTGAACTTTGGAATTGGAAGCAACTGAATCCTGTACTGGTGTAGACTTTCTTTGCGCGACCTGTTCGGACACCTGGGGCGTCACAGATGGACCATCTACTACAGAAAATGTTTGTTGAGAGACTTCTCCAATCTCTAGCCTCTGGATCTCATCTTTGATTTCGCTGTATTTCCTTTCCTCTTCCTCAATCTCTCTAGTTACCATTTCCTTGTACCTAGCATACAATCGAGCCACAAGGGCAGGAATCACCGTAGAGTACGAGGCGCCATCGAGCATTTGTTTGGACGACCGATCCTGGATCTTCCTTTTTTTTGGGTTCGAGTTTTCACTTTCTGAGCTGGAGCCGGTGGGGCCATGTCCAGAAGGCGTCCCTTCTCTGTTTTGCAATTCTTCCTGCACTAGGTCTGCATAAAGTACTTCTAGAGCTTGAGGGGTCAACCGGGCCTTGTCGAAAGTCGCATCTTGGCGGACGAAGGAATTATTCGTCAGGAGCTCTGATATGGGTGTCAAATTGGACGGTCGAGACTCGAAGGTGCTAAGATATTGGAAGAAAAACAAAGATTCAAAGGCGGTATATGATGACAATGAAGGCATCCCCCATTGCCAGTCAAAGCGACCAGACAGGGCGTTGTTGTCCTTGACGATGGGAGCCACGTTGAGGGTTGCGAGGGTTGAGTTATAGGAACTGGGACCGATGGCGCAAGAGATAACTCGTGTGCTTTAATCGTCAGACCAAAACGATGTCTTCCAACAGCCACGAACACGCCTGATTGTTACCAGAGAGGCGGATATGAGCCGTGATAACAGAGTCTGAGACTTCTGGAAGAGCCTGGTGATGGAAAATCGATGGAAACGGCTCTTTCGTTGATGAAGGTGTAGAACCCATATTGATGGGGAAAAATTACGAATGA